CACCTGATGGTTCGGAGTGGCCTGGGTAGTTCGGTAGTGCGTGGCTTCTGGTGGTTGTTGCACGTTGGGCGTAAGAAGATGCGGCCCGCGGACGCGTCACCCTTGTACTGGCACGAGCGCACGGGTACCGGCCTACATGACTCTGTTAAGTTGGGCCCCAAGGCATGCACATCATCCACGTGTTGCCCGTCATAGGCAAAGCTTGGTACGCACATATGGTCGGTCACCCCGTGAACGTCTCTGGCTGATCATGGGTGTGTTCGTGGTCGTCGCCGTGAGAATGCAATACTCATTGCCGGAGTAGCTTCGTGGAGGCTGCGTGCTGTCTCTCGTACCCACGCGATGTGCGATGTGCCGCAAAGACATGTCCAACGCGCTCGCTAGTAGTAGCTGGGAAATCTGGGATAGGACGATCGAGACGACTACCCATCCATGGGACACCATCCTATGTAAGCAGGGGGACAGAAAGGCAGTAGTGAAGCTGGAGGGCAGGGAGGGGGAGCTCTTGGAACTGAATGCACATCAAGGCGGCCTCATTGGGGATCCGTTCGCTGTCGCCTCTTTCCTCGCCTCCTTCCAGGTGCCCATCATTGCCTGGACGGAGGACGCGTGTGCTAAGGATATGCTTGACGCGTGTGCTAAGAATGTGATTGCCGAATGGGGCCCTCATCGATGTGACTTGAGTTTGAAACAATACGTAGACGATCCTAATACGAATTGCCTGGTGGACCCCCTCTCTTAGTTTGACTCATGTGTTGCAACACTGGGTAAATTTGATCGATTATTGGATGATCGACTAAAGTAGGGAGGGTACGGCCAGAACCGCACAAAGAAGGAGTACTTCATCCACTTCGCCTTCAATAGCCAAACCTTTCGGCGCAGGATTAGGAGAATGGTGGCGAGTGATCATAGGGCGTCGTTGGAGAAGCTGGAGGGCGCCCCGAAAGATGAGGCCAGGTATCTCGGTCCGCACTAAAATCTGGCAGTGTCTTCGAGGGATGGCTACGAGTAAGACTTCGGCGGCGAGGTCTTCGTTTCATAGCTTGGGTGCTTGCTGTAGTATTACACTCTCTTTCAACTGGAAACGCAAGCTGCTGATTGGGTTCGGGCAGGGTGCTCTGCTGAGTGGTCTTGAAAGTTTCGTGTTATCGCCCGCCGACTGCCGCAGATTGGATCGTACAATGGCGGTTCTGGGCAGGATTGCCATGATGGGAGAAACGACTTCGTGGGAGGGGCCTCATCCGACTAGTTTATCGGACACTGAGGTCCTGACACAGTGGAAGATCTAGGGTTATATGAAGATCCGTAGGCTACGCATGTACCAATCGTTGGCCCTGGATTCGCAACATGATAACCAAGTCTTGTGTAACGCAGCATCACATCTTCAAGGATCACCTCATCGGGGACATTGTAGACGAACGGGGCCCCCTTCTACAGAAACTGATCGCAACATGATCATTGACATGTCCAAGCTGCCCTTTCGAAGGCTCAAGCCTCTGGAGCGCGTGCGCACATCTGCTCTCGCAGCGTCCTGTCGACCTTCAATCATACACTGAGAAAGATGCCAAAGGGAGCGGAGGCGAGCATCGCTGCGGCGACGGCCTCGGGAGAAGCTCTCTCTCCGTGATTCAGTGGCCACATCGCAGCGGTGAACAAGAGGCGGCAGAGAGGCAGTGGACCCGAGGAGGAGTGCGCCCAGAAGCAGGGACGCCAGCAGCAGCAAGTGACGGCCGCCGACAGGGTCAAACGGCTGTTGGCCATGGGGCGCCTGCAGCTGGAGAACGCGCGCGAGCTCGCCGACGTGTCGGCCATCACGCTCTTGCGCTACGAGCTGCGGGCGGACACGGGCCTCATCGCCACACGCAAGCACGGCGAGCCAGCAGCACGACGAGATCAGCCGCGACATGAAGGAGAAGGCCAAAGCAGGGCGATGGCGTGATAGGCTGGCGGGCCCGCGGACCGCCGCACCTCCGCGTGCTCGCAGGAGCGGTCCTGCACGGCGCCGCCATTAGTTGCAAGATGATCGACCCCGATACGAGAAAACGCAAGTGGCCATGTCTAACATTCCTTCTCAGTTCTGAGGCAGAGAACTGTGAAGGAATGGCCGACATTACCACTCGTGTTTTCGCGAAGAGATGTCTAAGACGGCAACTTGCGAAGGAATGTCGTCCACGTCGGAGCACGAGCGGGACGCGGGAGCAGGAGCGAAGGCTGAAGACCGCCTTGGAACAAGCACGCCAGGAGAAGCTGATGAAATCGGAGCCGGTGGAGCTGACCCGCCAGGTGCTGCACTTCCGGGCGAAGACCCACAAGACGCCCTCGGGAAGGGGGGCAAGCACAAGTGCACGCTGCCCATGAACTCCGACACGACGACGGGCCTCGGGAAGGAGGTGGCCCCGCTCGCGGAGACCCTGGTTCAGCTCGAGGGCGGCGTGCTCCTGGCAGGCGCCGCTCCCCGTGGGCCTATCGAGCGCGAGATCTCGGCGCTGTTGCAGGCTTGGAGCACGTCTTCCCAAAGCCGCAATTCGGTGAGAAATGCTGCCCCTCTGTGACGGAAGAGCGAATTTGACGGAGGAGCGGAGGCCCTCTGTGACAGATGGGCTCGTCATCCCGTTCCTCCTCACCCTGCTTCTCGAACTCGTCTCTCTCATGTCACTTCCGCGCTCGTCGTCTTCTTGCTTGTGGTCAGGCGGGCCAACTCGCTGCCCCCTGGGCCCCATTGCCGCACCTGGCGAGGCAGGGCCTCGGGGCAAAGGGCGGGCGCGGCAGTGCTCACCAAGGTGAGGCGCGGGTCTTGCCGTGTCCGGGCGCCGCAGCGGCCAGCCTGCTGCGCCCCAGGGCCCCCGTCGATTACCGCACCAGGCGGGGCGGGGCCTCAGGGCGAGGCGGGTGCGGCGACCAGGACCGAGGGAGGAAGCGAGGGGAGCAGACGTTTCAAGGGGACTCTCTCAAGGTCTGACGGCGGTGTCGGTTTCTGTTTCTCGTCCTGTCCCAGGGGCCTCCTGCAGCAGCGTGCGCTCCCGAGAGCTGCAAGCGAGAGGGGGTCTACCCTCGCGACCTACCGCCTCAAGTCCTGAGTGCGCGAATGCGGAGCTGCCGCAAACACCAATTGTTTTTGCATCCAGGGCTAAGGCTCCAGGCAGAGGACGGGGGAGGGGGTCGTCTGGTCGTGGGAGTGTGGGTCGTGGGGAGGGGAGGGATCCTCGTGCCTGAGAGCTGGGCCCCCCCTAGCGGTTGCGTGCCACGCGTGGAAATCCCAAGCCTGGTCTGCGCCGCTCCCAGCGGAGTGCAGCAGGCCTAATTCATCGTCCTCAGTGGGGTGCGTAGTTACCCAGATAAGATTCCGAATGTGGTCCTGGCGAGAAGCCAGTTGACAGGCGTTCTCAGCAGGAGACCCCGAGCTTGTTCATGTTCATGCTCCCCTCCCTCTCCTCCTTCCCCTCCTCCTCCTCCTCCTCCTCCTCCTCTCCTCCTCCTCCTCCTCCTCCTCCTCCTCCTCCTCCTCCGTCTCCGCCTCCTCCTTCTCCTTCTCGCACGTACCTCGGAATGAATTCGTATGACGCTTTGGCACGTAATCTGCTTGCTGGACGAGCTGCGCTCTGGTAGCCCTAGCATGCTGATGTGTCAGTTCTTTGCCCATACCCGCCTGCCTCCGGCTCGAGGTATACAGATAGAAGCTAATGGCCAGCCTCTGACACGCAAGCAGGCGATCCTCGTGCGACATCGCACGGGCAAGACCCGATCTACGATCAAGAAAAACCTTGATCGGGGCAGACGGGACCCAGGCAGCCTGAACAACACCCAAAAGCAGAGGACACGACGTGTAGTGTCTCTGGGAGTCAGTCTCTGCAAGACACCAGGATTGCAAGCCTGATCCGTTTGGGAAACCCGCATCTCACTCGCCCACCCACCCACCTACCGGAGTTCTGAGGATCGAGGATTGCCTAGCTGGAGGGGGGCAAGGGCCGTCACACACACACACATCAAAACACACACACGCACGCACGCACGCACGCACGCACGCACGCACGCACGCACGCACGCACGCACACACACACACACATTCACACACACACACACACACGCACACACACGCCAAAACACACACACACACAAATCCACACACACACACACACTCCATAAGCATCGGCCAGCTGCACCCCGCTTTCGCCGGCACAAGCAGTGGTCGAGAGGCCCACGTCTCAAGGCGCTCGGACGTCGTGGCCCCCAGCGCCTCCCGGGTTCACGACACTTCGAGGATGCGCGAGACCATCCCCCGCACGGGAGCAGGACGGGCTCTCAGCCTGCGCCTCGCCGAGAGCCAGTCGAGCTATCCTGACAGGACATCGGAGGCGGGGGGTACTCCACGAGAGCCTCCGATGCGGTCGGCAAGCTCCTGGACGAAGGCAGGTTCAATGCAGTGCGCAGGAGCACAGCGATGCACGACCCACTCGGATACAGTCGAGGCCCGACCACAGGAAACCTTCCACCAGAAACCCAACCCTGAGACCCGAGGACGTCCTTTCATTGTTGGCGTGGGAACGTCACGCGTTCCATGGCAAAACCATCGAAATCCAAGAAACCCATGGCACCCTGGAGGCAACCAGGGTATTTCTTGGCATGGGCCTCCACTGTATAGACCCATGGTGCCTCGCCTCAGCCTGGATCTTGCCCCACAGAGGGCACACATTAGTCAGTCACTGTTTGCATACCCACGAGAGGAGCGGGGACGAGAACAACCGAACTCACCGAGGAGGAAGAGGAGGAGGAGGAGGAGGAGGAGGAGGAGAAGAAGGAGGAGGAGGAGGAGGAGAAGGAGGAGGAGGAGGAACAACAGGAGGAGGAGGAGGAACAGGAGGAGGAGGAGGAGGAGGAGGAGGAGGTTGGAGCGTCTGGGGAGGAGGAGGAGGACGGGGAGGAGGCCTCCAGGAGGTGGAGGGGAGGTCTCCGGGAGGCCTCCCCTCCTGCGGAGGCCTCCAGGGAGACCTCCAGCGGGTGCCCGCGTGCGCAGCCCGTGTCCTTTCTTGGGCCCAGCGGCCCTCTGCACTGCGAGAGGCAGCGCGCCCCGCGACGCGGCGGCCGCCCGGAGCGGGGCGTCACCCCCTGGGCGGCCACGGCCGCGCGTCCAGCTGCGCCCGGCATTTCATGACCTCGCTCATGATGAACTGCATGGGGTCCTGAGCACGGTCTCCCCCGGGGCCGTAGGCGACCCGAGGACGAGGAGGAGGAGGAGGAGGAGGAGGAGGAGGAGGAGGAGGAGGCGGAGGAGAGGAGGGGGGAGGGGAAGGAGGAGAGGGAGGAGGAGGAGGAGGAGGGGGAGGAGGAGGAGAGGAACGAGGAAGGAGAGAGGGGAGAGGATGGAGGAGGGAGGAGGGCGGGTCGCCTAAGCCCTTCGGAGAAGCCCTCCAGGGTCCTGGTGCTCGATCGGCGCAGGGCGGGGGGGGGGGGGGGGGGGGGGGGGGGGGGCGGACCGCTCGGGGAGGTGGGGGTGCGGGCTGTCCTGCGCGGGCGTGGTTCGGCGCTGCTTCACGGGGGCGCGAATGTCCGGGGGGCGAAGCACCGTGCATCTTGTCGTACCCCCTTTCTGGGGCCCCAGAGAGCCCCCTAAAGGGACTCCGCAAGTGCCCGAAGGGCACGCTTGTCTTCACCATCCCCCCCCATTTCATCGCCCCCCCCATTACGCAACGCACCGACGTGGGGATGCAGGGTGTAGAGTCCATGCCGAGAGATGGTCTCGGCGAGCGTTGTGGGGGGGGATTCGGAGGCGGGCTCCCGGGCGGGGCGGCATGGAGGGGGCATATGGAACGATGTGGGTATGGAGAGAGAAACTCCTCACGACCACCCCGGGGGAGGAGTGACAGATCTGCTGCTTCGTGGGACGGGCATGCGCAGGGTGCCTCGCGAGAGCGCGCAAGGAGGTATACCAACCCTGCCCATGCCTGCCCCGCCCTCCTGGCGAATGATGGTGAGCAGTCCTCCGCCACACGAGCTGACACGAGGCCCTGGCGGGCTGGCCCAGCTGGGACGAGGGGGCCATGATTGGCTGCGCGACGCGGGGGAGAGGAGAGCCCACAGCACACCCGCAAGCAGGAATGCGGGCGGGGGATTGCGCCGGATGCGGCGCGTCAAGCACTCGAGCACTGCAGCCGTACCAAGCAAGCAGCTGCGCCCTGCGTATATATCTTCTCAGGCGCGGCGACATGGGCACGCGCATCGTAACTGGACGGCTGGACCTACGCTGTCGTCATACCCTTCAGCTCTAAACTGACCCCATTCCCTTCGTTACCTCCTCCGCCGCCTCCTTCTGACCGTCGACCCTCTCACCATCCTCATTTGTGTTAGCCAGCGTGGACCCCAAACAGTGTGTTCTGGCATACTATGTGGCGCAGGATCTGTGGTGCAATCTGTGTGGTGCAATCTATGTGGCGCAGAAGAACAGGAAGAGAGGACAGAAAAGATGGGAAGGTCGAGGGGCGAGAGAGAAGGATACCCCCAGGTGCATTTATGTGATGTAAGCTTTGTGGTGCAATGTATGTGGTGCAATTAATTTCTGTTCGCAATGAGTTGTCCACTCCACTGCTCGCGCAAACATCCCACCCACCCACCCGCAACTTGGTTTGCAAAATCTCTTAAGACCGTGACGGTGGGTACCAAATGGCACGTGGCAACGACAGCGACGCCGACGACGACAGCGACAACGACGACGACGACGCCGCCGACAACGACTACGAAGACACCGACGACTTATCCAACGACTTCGACGACGCCGACAGCGACGACGACGACGACGACGACGACGACGACGCCGACGACGACGATGACAACGACGACGACGATGACGACGCCGACCACCATTACAACGACGACGACGATGACACCGACGACGACGACGACGACGACGACGACGACGACGACGGCAGCGACGACGACGACGCCGACGTCGACGCCGACGAACACGACGACGACGCCGACGCCGACGACGACGACGACGACGACGACGGCAACGAAGACGACGACGAGGGAGGAGGGAGGACGACGACGGCGACAACGACGACAACGACGACAACGACGAGGGAGGAGGGAGGACGGCGACGACGCGAACGACGAAGAAGGAGGAAGGACGGCGACGCCGACGACGACAACGACGAGGGAGGAGGGAAGACGACGACGACGACGACAACGACGACGACGACGGCGATGAAATAGGAGGGACGACGACGAGGCGCCGACGACCGACGACGACGACGACGACGACGAGGGAGGAGAAAAGACGACCACGGCGACAACGACGACGGACACGACCACGACGCCAAAGAGGACGACGACGACGAACACGAGGAAAGACAGAGGACGACGTAGGCGACGACGACGACGACGCGGGAGGAGGGAGGACGGCGACGACGACGACGACGACCACGCAAGAGCGCGCGCGCACGCTTTTGTTGAACATCCGTGTTGCGAAACCTTGTGTTTTTGTAGGTTTTGTGGACGCACGATTTTGAAAGCCTTCCGAAAACGATGGGTTTTGAAGGATTTCGGCATACGCGCGCGACGACGCGCGCGTCTGCACTTCGTCCCATTTTTTGCAGAGGATCCTCGCGACGGCAGACGCGCAACGGCGTTCGACAGATTTCGACATGCGCGACGCCCGTGTGGTAGCATGTTGTGAAAATATTGAAAACCAATGGTTTTCTCAAGATTTCGCAAGAGCTCGCGCGTGAGTTTTTTTAGCAAATCAGTGTTACGAAACAATGTTTTTGCATGTTTCTTGGAAACTCGATTGCGAAATCCTTCCGGCTCCGAAGGTTTTTGAAGGATTCCGGCATGCGCGCGCCACGACGCGCGCGTGTGCAATTCGTCACATTTGTTGCAAGGGATTCGCGAAAAAGTGTTATGTTGAAACAACAAATGTCACCGCATAGTGTTTTACAAGGGAACCTCAGGGGGGGAAACTCAGCCCCCCGGGGATAGTGTAAATTTATATTTAGGATGGACATGTGGTCAGAATCATATGTGATTTACATACCCGAAAGGGGGACCGATAACGCGGGGGGGGGGGGGTAGAGTCTATTCTGTTTTTGGAGAGGAGAACCTATCGGTGCAATTATGTCGTGCAGCGTACGCGGTGCAACTGATGCAGCGCAGTCTATGCGGTGAAAGCTATGCATGGCGAGGCGGCGACGGGGGAGGCGACGGCGGCCACATGGCGGCCAGAGCAGCCCGCAGGCCCAGGCGACGGGCGGCGACGAGGCGGCGACGGGCGACCTGGCGGCCAGAGCGGCGCGCAGGCCCAGGCGACGGGCGGCGACGAGGCACCGACGGGGCGGCGACGGCGGCTACATGGCCGCCAGACCGCCGCGCAGGCCAGGTTCCTTAGAAAACATAAGAGACCCTTAGTGCCATCACTGTTTGGGGAATGATGTCTTTCCTCCTTCTCCTCCTCCTCCTCCTCCTCCTCCTCCTCCTCCCCCTCCTCCTCCACCGTCCCTCCCCCTCCCACTCCCAATTATGCCCCTCCCCACCATCCCTCCAACCTCGCCCTCTTCGTCCTCCTTTCTCCACTCCTCATGAGAGAGCGTGATGGCCTCAGAGAGCCCAAGATAGCCTCCAAGATGGCTCAAGATAGCGCAAGATGCCTCAAGATGGATCCCAAGATGCTCCAAGAGGCCTAAAGTCCGCACCAAGACGGCCCCAAATGGCCAAAGAGCTCCCCACGGAGCTCCCCGAGAGGCCAAAATCATGCCAACACCTAGGGAAAAACACTGTTGTTTGCTTTCTCGTTTTTTCGCTTCCGATAGCCTTCACAGGCCTCAAGATGGCTCCAAGATTGCCCAAGAAGGCCCCAAGAGAGGCCCAAGAGAGCCCCAAGACGGCCCCAAGAGCGCCCTAGAGCGCTCCAAGATCGCCTCACGAGGGGCCCAATAAGCGATTCGAGGCACTCTAGAGGGGCAGGGCTAATATACGACCCCCCCTTCTTTGATGGATCTCCTACAACATGGCCCCAAGAGCGCCCCGAAGGCTCCCAAGAGCGCCCCAAGAGCGCCCCAAGAGGGCCGCAAGAGGCCCCAAGAGGCGCCCAAGAGGCCTCCAAGAGGCTCCCAAGAGACACCCAAGAGGCCTCCAAGAGGCCCCCCGAGATACGCAAGAGGCCCCAGGGACCGCCAAGAGGCCCCAAAGACGGCCCAAGAGGCCCCCAAGCTCGCCATTGTCCTCCTCCTCCTCCGACTCCTCCTCCTCTTTTTCTTCCTCCTCCCTCCTCCCCCTCCCTCTCCTCCTCCTCCTCCTCCTCCTCCTCCTCCTCCTTCTCCTTCTTCTCCTTCTCGTCCTCCACGTCCTCGCCCTCCTCCATCTCCTCCTCCTCATCTTCCTCCTCATCTTCCTCCTCATCTTCCTCCTCCTCCTCCTCGCCCTCCTCCTCCTCCTGCTCCTCCTCCTGCTCCTCCTCTTCCTCATCCTACTCCAGCGACGACGACTCCTCCTACATCCTCCCCCTCTTGGGGTATATGGCGGCTTACCCCGCTCTTTGTTCTTCTGCATGCTCCCCCGCTTCCCTCATCACCTCCACTCCCCTGGGACTCATTTCTGGACGGGCTGGTGGGGATACTTTTGTTTAGCGGCTCCAAGGCGACCGCCAGGGAGCGGGAGCGACGTCCGGGGCGGCTGAACGGCTGGTGGGGGTACGCGAAGCGTCTAGAATTATGCCCCTCCCCACCATCCCTCCAACCTCGCCCTCTTCGTCCTCCTTTCTCCACTCCTCATGAGAGAGCGTGATCCTCCGCCGCTTTGCTGTGGAAAATTCCCCCCCCCCCCCCCCCCCCCTTCCTCCGGAACCCGCGGTTCCCCCCTCCACCCTTCGAAAATCCCCCGCCCCCCTGCTCGAACCCCGTCCCCCCCTGGCCCTCCACTGGCCCTCCCCCCCCCACAACCCCCCTCCCCCCACCCTCCGGAAAACCGGGGGGAGTCACTACCGGTTCGAACCCCCACCTGCCCCTCGGAAAACCGGGGGGGCCAATACCGGTTCGAACCCCCTCCCCTCCTCCTCCCCTACTCGCCGCCGGCATCCCGTGTCCCCACCACTGTCCTCACCACCGCCCTCACCACTGTTCCCACCACCACCGTCCCCACCACCGTCCCACTGTCCCCACTGTCCCACCACAGTCCCACTGTCCCCACTGTTGCCACCACTGTCCCCACCAGTGCCCCCACCACTGTCGCACTGTCCCCACTGTCCCCCCTGTTCCCACCACAGTCCCACTGTCCCCACCGCTGTCCCACTGTGCTGTCCCACTGTCCCCACTGTCCCCGCCACTGTCCCACTGTCCCCACTGTCCCGATTACTGTCCCCACTGTACCAATGTTCCATTGTCCTCACCACCGTCCTCACAACCGCCCTCACCAGTCCCCACCACCACCGTCCCCACCACTGGTCCACTGTCTCCACTGTCCCCACCACTGTCCCCACTGTCCCCTCACCACTGTCCCCTCACCACTGTCCCATTGCCCCCACCACTGTCCCGCTGTCCCCACTGTTCCCACCACTGTCCCCACTGTCCCCACCAGGGCCCCCACCACTGTCGCACTGTCCCCGCTGTCCCCACCACTGTCCCCGCCACGGTCCCACTCTCCCCACTGACCCCACTGTCCCCGTCACAGTCCCACTGTCCTCAGTGTCCCCACCACTGCCCCATTGTCCCCACTGCCCCCGCCGCTCTCACTGTCCAGACTGAGGGAGGAGGGGGAGTCGTTTGCCAGCGGCGAGGGAGGGGGGATGGGGGGGGTTTGAACCAGTGGTGACCCCCGCCCCTTTTTCATGATGGACCAGGGGTTGGGGTGGGGTTGGAACCCCAAGTGACCCCCCCCCCGGTTTTCGAGAGGGGGTAGACGGGTTGGAAACCCCCAGTGTCCCCCCCCTCGGTTTTCTGCCAACAACGGCAGAACACGCTCTTTCACTCCTCAGGAACTCAACGAGCCACTGGTCGATGAGGCGTGTGAGCAAGCAGGGGCGGCCTGCGCAAACTAGTGAGCCGCATCGCAGACTGCGGCTGTGATCTTCGGTCCTTTCTCGCCTCCACGTCCTTGGCAAGCTCCCGGATGATCGCGTACGAGTCTTTCCTTCGGAGGGCGGCATCTACACTTCACACCAACGCCTAACAGCTCGGACCCTGGCCAGGCCAACCCAGGCCTCAGGATGGGCCAGGCGAGGGCCGGGGTTGGTGGATGCAGGGTGCTCCGACTGTTGAGAGCAAGCCTGGTGACTTGGCCACGAGCTGGCGCCGACGAATGCCCGCCACCAGCAGCTTTTCGGGATAGCTGCTTCGACAGCCAGGTCATCGATTCGAAACGGCATGGAAGAGGATGAGAAGAGTGAGGAGCGAAGAGGAGGAACAGTGAGAATAAGGACGACGAAGAAACATATAGCAGATGGAGAGACGGATACGGGGCCAGTCGTGGAGAACTAGCTTCTCTCTGTCTGGACATGGGGGCGCGAGCTCCGCTGCATGCCAAGACAAGGGCTGCGATTAATTGGCTTCTTATTACAATTCGTGATGACGCCCGTTACTGGAGCCACCCACCAGCCTCATCCCCTCCCGCTGGAAACGTCACGGGTCAAGCTGGCTCCGTCCGGGATCGCCAGAAATCCGCCGATCCGGCGTGTGAGTTTCTGAGAGCGTGGACTTTAGCTCGCTCAAGCTTCGCTCTGCAAGGGGGGGGGACGCCATTCCCAACGCCAGTCAGTGCTCGGGAGCCTGGGGGGGTCGCTCTGCAAGGGGGGGGCGGGGACGCCATTCCTGACCCCATGGAGTGCTCGGGGAGTCCGGGGGGGGGGCTTCGCTCTGCAAAGGGGTGGGTGGACGAGTGCTCGGGAGCCGGGGGGGGGTTCGCTCTGCAAGGGGGGGGGGACGCCATTCCCCGACGCCATTCAGTGCTCGGGAGCTGGGGGGGGGGGGGTCGCTCTGCAGGGGGGGGGGGGAACGCCATTCCCGCGCCATTCAGTGCTCGGGAGGCTGGGGGGGGGAGGGTTCGCTCTGCAAGGGGGTGGGGGGGGGGGCGGGGGGGGGGGGGGGACGCCATTCCCGACGCCATTCAGTGCTCGGGAGCTGGGGGGGGGAGGGTTCGCTCTGCAAGGGGGGGGGTGGACGAGTGCTCGGGGGCGGGGGGGTTCGCTCTGAAGGGGGGATGGGGGGGGGACGCCATTCCCGCGACACCATTCAGTGCTCGGGAGCCGGGGGGGGGGGAGGGTTCGCTCTGCAGGGGGGGGGGGGGGGAGGCGCCATTCCTGGCGCCATGCAGTGATCGGGGGCGGGGGGGGCTTCGCTTCCGACGGTCCCAGAGGCCCCCGAGACCGCGTCAAGACGGCTCAAGAGGCTCCCAAGACGACCCCAAAACGGCCCAAGAGGACGCCCTCCACTTCTCCTCCTCCTGCTCCTGCTCCTGCTCGTGCTCCTGCTCCTGCTCCTCCTCCTCCTCCTCCTCTTCCTCCTCCTCCTCCTCCTCCCTCCTCATGCTTTTCTCCTCATGCTCCTTCCTCTTTGCTCCCTCCTCCTTCCCTCTCCCTCCTCCCTCATCCCTCCCTCCTCCCCTCCTCCTTTCTCCCTCCTACCTCTTCCCTCCTCCCCCCTACCTCTTGCCTCCTCCTTCCTCCCTCGTCCCTCCCCCCTCCCCTTCTCCCCTCCTCCTTTCTCCCTCCTCCCTCCTCTCCTCCTCTCTCTAACCTCTTGCCTCCTCCTCCTCCCTCCTCCCTCCCCTCCTCTCCCCCTTCTACCTCCCAGCCTCCTCCTTCCTCCCTCCTCCCCCGTCCTCCGTCCTCTTCCTCCCCCCTCACAGAAGCCAGAAACAGCCCCAGGACGGCCCCTTATCAGCTCCACAAGATGTGGAGACGGAAGACGCAGCAGATGATGGCCTACCTCTTCCTTTTCATCATCTTCATCATAACCATCGCCATCAATATCCCCACCACCATCACCATGGTCAACGTCATCATCATCAGCAAGAGCCGCAGCTTCAGCATCATCATCATCATCATCATCATCAGCAGCATCATCATCAACATCATCAGCATCATCAGCAGCACCATCATCAACATCACCATCATCATCAGCAGCAACAACACCATCAACATCACCGTCCTCAGCAACTGCATCATCCTTAGTACCCTGCGAATTCACATCATCAACATCAACACCAACGTCACCATTATTATCAGCATCATTGTGGGCACACCGCTATCATCATCACGTCCACCATCACCATCACAAGCATCTAAATCCTTCTTCTCGTCGTCGTCATCACCATCTTCATGCTCTTCACCATGTCCATTGCCATGATATACAGCATCCTAATCATCATCCTCACCATCACCATCACCATCACCATCACCATCACCATCACCATCACCATCACCATCACCATCACCATCATCATCATCATCATCATCATCATCATCATTATCATCATTATCCGCAACGCCCCGGATCGGCGGCCCTGACCGGAAGCCAGCACAATATCAAGTTCTCAAATCGCGCCGGCGAATCGTGACGTTACCAGCCTCCTTGTCCTGCCACCTTCCCAAAGTGGTGAAGTCCATTGCCGCCAGAGTCCAGAGGATAAGCAAAAACCATACTTACCGGCTGAGATCAAGGACTGAAACTGAATGCCAGACGGCTGAGATGACAACCTGACGCGAACAACGGAAATGAAGCGATGGCTCACGGGGTAAATATAAAGATGCCACTGAGATGACATACCAAAATGCAAAACTGCACTATCACTGCGGAGGCTTAACGGAACCGTAACGACGAAAGGTTCATGCGAAATGAGCGGTCCAAATGGCATGACTACATGGGCGACGTCAAGGAACGACTACCATTAATTTCCAAATCCCAATGCTACAATGAACATGGCATGACAAGCGGAAGAGCATCGAAACACTGCTACGGAAGACTGACACGGACGCTGACCCAAAACGCTACGCAACACCATGTCATGCCGAAAGGCTCGCGGACGTCGCCAAACGCCACGAGAAAAGAAAGGAAGCGAGTCGTTGGCGCGGGTGGTGCAGAGCTAGAGGCCTCCTGGATGGGGTCCGAGTAGATGGGGTCGAAGGATCATCGCCAATGCATCGCCGATGCATGGGCGATGCATCGGCGATGTATCGGCGACGTCAGCGATGCATCGGCGACGTCGGCGTCGGGAAACACGGGCTCCACATCGGGCCGCATCGCCGATGCATCGGCGATGCGGCGCGACCCTCCGGCCCCATCTGCTCGGGCCCCATTCGGGCCGGGCGAAAGGGGGGGATAGCAAAGGGGGGGTTTGAGAATCAGCTCACGTAGCTGACTTTCCCGGCGCCTCCCGGCGCCGGAGGCGGCCATGTATCGAGGAATGGGCCCCTCGGTGGGGCCGAAACCAGCTGCATGCGGCAGATTTCGTACCCCCCCCTTTCCCAATCTCCCCTTTCGTCCGGCCCGATAGAAGAGAATTTTTCCGATCGCGCAACGCCACACGCACATTGCCCGAGTCCTGGAGACAGCACGGCGGCAAAACCCGAACGGCCGCCGCGGGGCCGCCGAGGGACCTCAACGGTCGCCACCACAGGGCTCAGAGGCGCAGCCAGTGGGCCCCCAGTCGGACCTATAGGCCAGAAGAACATGCTTCAAGAACACGAGGAGGAGGCCCAGGGACACACGAAGAAGTACACACCAATCCCAGGATTCCCCATATTTTCCTACATTTTCGGGGTTTTCGTCTTCCCCCCCCCACTTCCCATATTTTCCTACATTTTCTAGAGAATCGACAACTCTTTGTGTCAGAGTGCTTTTCCCTCCTGAGAGACCCTCGGACGGCCAAGACGCACAGAACATCCAAGGGTCCCCTCCCCAGGGTGCGCGAGAGCATCCAACAAGCACCCTCCCCAGACTGGCCTCGAACTTGTACCTCGGTCCGACTGCAAAGCGATTGCAGCAGGGGGACCTAAACGGTCGCAAAAGTGGCACAGAGAATATTCAGCGAAGCGATCTACCAGCAGAACAAGCAGAACAACTGCATATGGCACTCGATGCTGGTCAGAATCCCTCGCTATGTGCCCCAAGAGGGGAGGCAACGCAATTGGATTGCATCTCGTCGGCCTTGGTGGCGAAGAGGTAAAGACGAAAATGAGAGAAAGAGGGTAGAGGAGTGACAATTTATCTTCGAGCCGGCCATGACCAATTGTCAGGATCACTCGGAGCAGCGCGCAAAGAGGACGGCAGAGGAAGGAGTGTTGACCGTTGGGTGGGTAACAGCTACTATCCGCCACAGCAACCCCTGGCACGTTGAGGGGTCGTATAATGCAAAGTTCTGTCGCGAAGGGTTTCTGTAAGGTTATGGGAGACTTACCCCCTCGACTCGTCCGGCCGGGTGCATCGTCGGCTTCCTGGGTAGCCTGAAGCCTCCCTGGCGCTCTCCAAGTCTTTCTGGGGCTTCCACGGAGAGCGACGAAGAGCACGAAGGCCCAGCGTTGCCTCAAGAGGCACCCAGCAGCTCCCAAGAAGCTCCAACTATGTGCGAAAACGCCTCCAGGAGGCCCCTGGGCACCCCAAAGACACTCTCCAGGAAGCCCTCGGGAGGCTAATTACATTGCTTTCCCATTGCTTTGTTATGTCGTTCCCTTTTCACACTCCCGTCCAAGTTCGGCCCACTTGCATTGTGGATGCCATGACAATGGACACTCTAACAGTCCTACCATTGAAGTACACATGTGTTTAAAATGTTTGATCCATTTTCTAAACATTGTTTGGCCTGTTTACAGCATGTTTCAGACATCTGGTAACTATTTGGGAACACGCTTCCTCTCCATTGATCGTCGTCCACAACACTTGCAGTCTCCGAAACCCCGAAAAGGGCCCACCAAGAGCGCCAAGAGCGGCCGCAGACGGCCCAGGACGGCCCCAAGAGAGCCCCACGTTGGCCCAAGAGAGAGGCTCCAGGGACGCTCCAAGACGGCCTCCCTGGGTATCGTTTAACCGATCCCTATCCCCACGGGCGTGGCCTGGGCCCCACTGGCCAATTCGCCCCCCCCAGATGGGGATCTAGGCTGCTCCCTTCGGGTCTCGAGGGGTAGATCCCCAACTGGG